TGCATCGCACGATCAATCGGCCAAAAGTGGCAGCTGGCCAAAAGGGCCAAAAGTGCAAGCGGCGGGCAATGGCCCGCCGCGATCGATACCGATGTCGACTGCATCGATGTGGGCGGGGCCAATCGCCCGTCGCTTGTGCACATTGCAAGAGCGACTGCATCGCGCGATGCAATCGCAGAGTCTGACCGACATCTTAGCACTGTTTTTCCCTGATATCTTCTGTCTACTCTATACAAAATTTATAACCGTGTGTTCCTGTCCAAACGTATATCCGTGGAGTTTCGATAGGATTTTGAATGGTTACAATAGGTGTTGGAAAAAAATTCTCCAAAACATACCCAGATCCACAGTTGTACTCGAATTTGCCCATATTTAGTTGCATGTACACATCGGGTGTTTGGAAATTTAGGGCAACCATTTGACAACCGGCATTCCAGAATATCTGAAGCGAAAAAGTGAATGAGTACTTGTGAGTACTACATGTCACTCGACAAAGGAGCTTTCACAATAAAACGCAAACCTGTGGAAGGAAATTGCTTGAATCCACCCTGGCTCCTTTCGGATATATCCTGCTCAGCTGACGCTTATTGTAGTTAACGAACTCTGGGGCACACTGCTTCAAGTAACCAAGACCAGTGGACTCGGAGAATGATGACATGTGGAAATGCAGGTTATTGCCTGGAAATTATTTGTCAAAGAAACTAGTTGTGAAAAAGTGAACATCATTAAGTCTCAATATTTGAAATAACAACATTTATATCTCAAATAGTTCTTCAAGCGAGTATCGAAGTGACTATTGATAACAACTATTATAAAAAGTGCTGTTGAAATCACTAGCACACCTCACACATTTTCAAGTACTTATTTGAGAGGGCGGAAGTGGTGTAGTGGCAAGTGGCACGCTTACCACGCGAGCGGTCCGGGGATCAAATCCTGGGTCGTGAGTCGCCCGGGCCAACCAAGCCTTCCATCCCTCCGGGGTCGGTTAATTGGTACCAGACTTGTCTGGGAGGATAAAAACACTGACTTGTACATCGGCTGGCCCCCGCAAGTCATTGTATAGGCCACATCGCATTCAAACGCCACTACGAATGTACAAATGGAAGTATTAGGTTGTCTCATAAATAGTGTCGCTTTTTTTCAACCAAAAATTTTCATCTAAATCCCCATGCTTTTACATCGATTCATATACCATTCGAAAGAGAATTGTCTGCTCTACAAGATGTTGTGTTCTTCTTCCACCTATGTTCCATGGTTTTCAAATTTTAGGCCTGCGAAATGGGAGGTCCCGCCGACAAAAATTGACCTA